CCCCTGATGTACATTATATGTTATATCGAGTAAAGTGGTGCTACATATACTGCTAAATTGCAATAAATCACATGTTAGAGCTTGTCATTTATTTTGAATCTACCAGTATCTACAGCTGATAGACGGATGAAGTTGATTTAAAAACAACAAAAGTTACCTCTGAATTACAATGTACTAATTCTCAGGTCTAACCAGGAGATTTCTTAAAAGAATAAGGAAATGTTCAACCTCTCTGTCATCATAGCAGTCATGATAAAAGCCACTCCTGATAATTAATTGATCTAATTTAGTTAGGAAAATTTTAATTTGACACAAATGATTTTTGAGTTAGAGACCATAACAAATACACATTGTTTAATATTATGGATAATAGAAGAATTAGTTTTACTTTTAGTGTAATAATAAAATAAATACATAATACAGGAGCCAATATGATCTGTATTTACACTTTCCTGTATGATTATCAAGAATTTGCTGACAGGAAAGCCATCCTTACTTTTACAAAAAAAGTGTTTTTTCATGTAACTTTGGAAATGAATCACCTAACCCCAATGCCTGCAATTGGGTCCTCACTGACCAATGGGGAAGGCCGGACAGCAGGGCAGCGCTCCTGACTGTAGATATAAACCAGGGCTCCAGGTGAGGTCCTTCCATCAACAGGATCACACAGCAACCATGAGGTCTCTGGTCTTCGTTCTGCTCATCGGAGCTGCTTGTGAGTGTCAAGTTCTTTTCTTGCAGATCGCCTTCCTTTCTGCTAACAGTCTGTTGGCCTTTATGCCAGAACATTGTCCAGAATAACCATAGCATCTCCCAGTGGTTATGATTAAGTACTTTTACTCAAGTACAGTACTAAAGTACAAATTTGAGGTGCTTGCACTGAACAAGAGTATTTTCTTTTCATGACACTTTCTACTTCTACTCCGCTACATCTTAGACGGAGACATTTTACTTGTTACTTCACTACATTTATCTGACAGCTTTACTAGTCACTTTATGTTAAACCTTAACAAAAGTGAAGATTTGTTGCTTTTTCTTTTAATTATTTTAATTTATTTGTGAAAACTTTGAGCTTTGTTAGTTAGACAATGCAAGCATTGTGAAGGTGTCACTTTGGGATAATTGTGGCAGCAATTCACACTATTTTCAGAATTTTGAAAATCGATTAATGGAGAAAATAATCAGCAGATTAATCCGTAGTGAAAATAATCTTTAGTTGCACTGTGATACAAAGTAGTTAAAAATTAGCTTAAGATTAACAAAATGCTGCTTTTACATTAATTTAATGAATAATAATAATAATAATAATAATATAATAATAGTATAACCGTCACAGGACATTTTTCTTTCTGCATTGAGTACTTTTACTTTTAATACTTTAAGTACATTTTCCTGATTATATTTACATACATTTATGATTTTCAATGCAGGACTTTTACTTGTAATAGAGTATTTTTACAGTGAGCTATTAGTACTATTATTTAAGTCAAGGATCTGAATATCTCGTCCACACACACACACACACACACACACACACACACACACACACACACACATATACATATAAACTGAGTAACTTGAATTATTATTGAAAGGGAAACATATGTAAAATTAATGCCATTGTTTAATAAATAGGAAAGTTTGCCTATACTGTAAAAAAAAAAAAAACTCCTGACAAACATAACCATGCTAAAAGTACTTTTAAAAAAATTACTTTTTTAAAAATACTTTAAAAAATGTGCTTTGTAGGCCACTTTGACTCAAGTAGAACTTTAAACTGAAGACTTCTACTTGTAGTGGAGAAATATTTAGCGAGAGTATCTGTACTTTTACTCAAGTAGGCCTACAGGATTTGTGTATTTTGTCCACCACTGGCATTTACCTAAAGTGAGGGTTTTGAATTTGAGAATGGCTGATTGATCTCTAACCATCCTCAGCACTCAAATGAATAACGCACACTTTGGGGTTTAAGTAAAAACACACAAAAGGACATTCTATATTCAGAGATGTCTGCTTAGTTGAAATGTTTTACTGGTGTTGTAGTGTTCTATAGACAAATTAACAATCTTCACTTAATTAACATCAGCTTGAAAGCAAATGAAAACACAAATAATTTTTTTTACTTTTTGATTGTAAAAAAAATTCAGGCATTAAGGGGTTAAGCAAACTACTAACTTGTTGCTAACGTGTGTGTTGTAGTTGCGACGGAGGACGACAAGATCGTCGGAGGGCATGAGTGCGAGGCCAACTCCCAGCCCCATCAGGTGTCTCTGAACGTTGGCTACCACTTCTGTGGGGGCTCCCTGGTCAGCCAGGACTGGGTCGTGTCTGCTGCTCACTGCTACCAATCGTATGTCACTCCTTGATAATAAGACAAAAGGTTTGCATGCAGGAATGTATCTGCTTAAAAAGACATCATGAAACTCAGCTGCCACTAATCCTCTCATTCCTCTCAAGTCGCATTGAGGTGCGTCTTGGAGAGCACAACATCAAGGTCACCGAGGGAAATGAGCAGTTCATCAGTTCGTCTCGTATTATCCGCCACCCCAAGTACAACTCCTACACCATCGACAATGACATCATGCTGATCAAGCTGAGCAAGCCCGCCACCCTCACCAAGTCTGTGCAGCCTGTGGCTCTTCCAACCGCCTGTGCCCCCGCTGGCACCATGTGCAAAGTCTCTGGCTGGGGCAACACCATGAGCTCCAGTGAGTTTTAACTTTTGCATTGCGCTCTCAGAATGTTTTCACTGCAGTATAGTTCCAGTTAAATCTCTTTTTTACTCTATTGATCTCCAGCTGCTGACAAGAACAAGCTGCAGTGCCTGAACATCCCGATCCTGTCTTCTGCCGATTGTAACAATTCCTACCCTGGCATGATCACTGATTCCATGTTCTGTGCTGGATACCTGGAGGGAGGCAAGGACTCTTGCCAGGTATGTAATTCAATGTTCAGGCAAGAATCCAGCAATAACTGCATGAAATCCCTGGTATGGTCAGTCATTCAAGTAATTTCACACTCTGTGTTCTCAGGGTGACTCTGGTGGCCCCGTCGTTTGCAACGGAGAGCTGCAGGGTGTTGTGTCCTGGGGCTATGGATGTGCTCAGAAGAACAACCCTGGTGTCTACACAAAGGTAACTTTTAAAAAACATTATTTAATCAACACGCTGTGTCCAGTTTGTTCTGTTGGACTGAGCTGCAATGCTATGCTGATTCACAGTTCTAACTCAGGTCTATTTCCATTTTTAGGTCTGCATCTTCAGTGACTGGCTGGAGAGCACCATGGCCAGCTATTAAGTGATCCAAACAACAAGTCCAGTCAAGCAGCTTAACAACAATTGCTTTTTGTGTTCCATCTTTTGTACTGGACAATGTGACAAATAAACCATTTAAAGCACATAATTTGGGTCTACTTTATGTGAACCTATTTCAAAGAACAGATTCTAGTGTGTCTAGTGTGTAGTTCAAGAAAGGTGACTCTTTTTTAAAATATTTTATTTAATCTTTATTTAAGACTTTGGTTGAAATAACATGTTTAACAAGGCTTTGCAATAGTGGCTGCTAAAGCTATAAATGTACATCGAATAAACTTTATATAACATTATTAATAGCATTATTTGTTGCTTATAGTGTTCCTTACATTGTTTATTAATAATATTAGTTTACCCAACAATAATAAGTTTATATTCAAACTAAATTCATCAAGTATTTTTCTTTTTGTTAATATATATCAAAATAATTCATTTACAGGTAAAGAAAAGAGTAGAGCATATCAAATGGGTGTCACACCCACTGTCTACTATTGGCTGACTATGACATAATGTTGATTGATGTCGCCTCAGATTTAACTCATGCCCCAATCTAAAACGTTAAATTACGTTGAACATTGAATTAAATCATAAATATCATAAATTGAATCAGACATTGACAATTTATTTAGATCATGCTGATAAATTTAGAATCAGAAGTATTGTTGGGTTTCTTTTTGCATGTTGGTGGCAAATGCTACGCCCATTGCTGCAACATGTTTCCAAAGCAACCCCTCCTCCTAAAAAAATGTTTATACACTACTAAATGGTTTGCCTAAGTAAATAATATTGCTCTTCTGGGGTCTTGTGTAAAAAACATCCCCTATTTTGTTGAAAACCCTTCCACATTAGGATTTTAACTCAACTTGTTTTAGCAATCTTTGACAGTATTTGAGTGGCTTTATAATGCAGGTCAATAGACCTGGATAGACGGCAGGTACTTCAGCGTTATACAGTACTAGAAGTCAGAGAGCTCGTCAACTAGAGAAGGGATGCCTGCTGTGGTGGATGCCGTTTAATAATCCAAATTTATTTCCCAGCATTTGAATTATGAATAACTTAATTATAAATGGATATGCAAAATGAGTTTTAAAAGGGGCTTTAAATTTTACATGTAGTGATTCATTTACTAATCTGTTTTCCTGTCATATTCCATTTCATCATCTTATCTCTTGTGTCTTTCGTCACTCGTGAAGAGGAATAATCTGAAGAGTAAACATAATTGCAGTTTTTGAGCATCATAATGTGTGACAATAGTTATGGGTGATGAAATTGAGTTTTTTCCTACTGACTGACGCCTTAAGTGACTTGAAGAGCTTATGTTCTTTTCCCCCATTCTCATGAAGTACAGTAGAGCACCAAAAACTCACAAAATTAACCCCTAGCAAACTATGAAAAAAATGTCACGTTCGTTTCATTTCAGACTGGATATTGCTCTTAAAAGAGTCCGGAATTGGTCCTTGGTTTTAATGTTCTGCTTGGACTGAACCATGATAATGACAGAGGATGCACGGTTGAGCCGAAACTATGCCAGCATCCCAAAGTTAAGAGTTAAGATCTTCCAGGCACACTTTTGTTCATATCCAAAAGCAACATTGAATTTTTAAGAAATCTGACTTAGACCTTTAAATCATGTTAATCATTTTAGACTTTGTCAGAATAAAGGAAGATCTTGTCAAAAAAATCTAATGACATGATGGAAAAAAAGAGTGAATCTGTCCTGTAACATGACTTTTGAGCCACAAAACCTACGACAAAGATTACAAGGGAGACATGGGCAAACACATAACCGTGGTCATACACTGGACTTGGTTTTTACCCTGGGTGTCAGCATTTCCTCTGTGGAATTAGTGGAAATGACCATATCTGACCACAGATGTATTGTTTTTAGCTGCGATTCGTCTGTTACTCATGCCGCCTCACCAAGCTCCGTGTGTTCTCGCATCTTTAATGAACAAAGTGTTTCAAAGTTTTGCGCAGTCTTTCAGAGCCAAAGCCAACACCTGTCTGATTCCAACACCAACAATCTGGTTGATCACTTCAATCATATCTGCTTGTCGTCACTAAATATTACTGCTCCTCTAAGGTTAGGCCTACGTCTAAAGCTAGTAAACAACCCTGGATAAATGACAGCATTCGCAGCCTCAAAAGGGAATGCAGGAAAGCAGAGCGCAGATGGAAAAAATCCAATCTCCAAGTCCATTACCTCAGTCTGAAGGATTTATTAATTAACTACAATAACTTGGTTAAGGATGCGAGAACACACTATTTCTCTGAACTCATTACTACACATAAACACAATCCCAGGTTTCTGTTTAAGACTGTGGATCAGCTGGTAAACCCAACCCCTCCTTGTGCCTCAGCTGGAAGTAATGATGACTGTGAATTGTTTTTATCTTATTTTACCAATAAGGTGGTGTCAATCAGAGCCTCTATTACCCCCGTGGCCTCTTACTCAGAGGTCCCTCACCAGCAACAACAGAGTTTTAACCAGTTTTATCCCATCGACTTGTCTGAGCTTTTAAAAACAATATCACAAATGAAAGTGTCCTCCAGCCCACTTGATATAATACCTACAAAATTTTTACTGAAAGTAATAGATTCTGTTGGCCCCCATTTGATCTCTGTTTTCAACAGCTCCCTATCTACTGGTTGTGTCCTGATTATTTTAAAACGGCTTGCGTGAACCCACTTTTAAAGAAACCTGGTTTAGATCCCTCCCTCCCACAAAATTTTAGACCAATTTCAAAACTGCCTTTTATTGCAAAGATTCTAGAAAGAATTGTGTCCAAACAGCTGCTCACTGTGCTGGAAAATAACAAAATATTTGAAAAGTTTCAGTCTGGTTTTAGGAAGTACCACAGCACTGAGACTGCCCTGCTTAAAGTCACCAATGACCTTTTAATGTCTGCTGATGAAGGTATGTGCTCAGTCCTTGTACTCCTGGACCTTAGCGCTGCTTTTGACACCATTGATCACAACATCATGTTAGACAGACTGAGGCACTGGGTGGGGATCTCTGGTACTGCCTAGAATGGTTTTCATCCTACCTGTCAAATAGGAAGTTTTGCGTGTCTGTAAACAACTATGTCTCTTCATTCTGTCCAGTTAAATATGGTGTGCCTCAGGGGTCGGTCTTAGGACCCATTTTGTTTTCCTTGTATCTGCTTCCCCTTGGACATATTATCCATAAACATGGCATTTCTTTTCATATTTATGCTGATGACACACAAATATACTTGCCCGTCAGATCCACAGACCCTGGAATGCTGAGTTCACTTAACAACTGCCTTTGTGAAGTTAAAAAATGGATGTCAAATAATTTCCTCCAGCTGAACTCAGACAAAACAGAAATCCTGGTCATCGGGTCCCAGCAGATGGCAAATCAAATACTGCCATCTGCTGGTTCCCTAGTAAATCACATTAAGCCTGTGGCAAAGAACCTTGGTGTTTGGTTTGATAGTAATTTAAATTTCGAGCAGCACACCACAAAGCTTGTTCAATCATGTTTTTATCAACTTAGAAATATAGCTAAAATTCGATCTATGTTAACTTTTAAGGACACCGAGACCATTTTACACGCCTTCATCTCATCACGCCTGGATTATTGCAACAGCCTTTTCACCTGTTTAACCCAAAAATCTATTGATCGACTCCAGACTGTCCAGAACTCAGCTGCCAGGCTTTTAACCAGAACAAAGAAATATGACCACATTACTCCTATTTTAGCTTCATTACACTGGCTCCCAGTATGTTTTAGAATTGACTTTAAAATTCTATTGATCACTTTTAAAGCTCTTCATGGCCTCTCGCCTTGTTATATTTCTGACCTTTTAGTCCCATACGCACCAGCACGTACCTTGAGATCCTCGGGCAGAGGTCTGCTGTCTGTTCCAGAGTCTCGACTGAAAACTAAAGGGGACAGAGCGTTTGCTGTCAGGGCCCCGAGGCTCTGGAACAGCCTGCCCGAGGAAATCAGGTCGGCTGAGTCAGTGAACTCTTTTAAGTCCCTTCTTAAAACATACTTTTATAGGAGAGCTTTTCCCGATCTTATTTGACTTTATTTTATCCCTTTTATTTTATTGTATTTTACTAATTTTATATTAAATTTTCATGCTCTTATCTTTTTTTTGTATTATTCTTTACGCTTGTTAAAGCACTTTGTAACTTGTTTTTGAAAAGTGCTCTACAAATAAGGATTATTATTATTATTCTGACGGAAAATAAAATTGTTCTTTTCTTTGAATATAACTGCTACTAGATTTTTGTAAAAGAAAGGACTCACACCAACCTCTCAGTTCTTATTAAATCATTGGATTAGTTGGAAACGGAAGTTGAACTCCTTTTCAGATTCTTGTCGTATACTGACATTGATCAATGTTGAAACATATATGCCCTTCCTTTCCAGGTGCATAAAGCATTCTGCACTCAGGAGACAGAAAATCACAATGGGGCCAGTGTTCATGTACTACAAATGAAAAGACTGACAAAACCTTATTAACACTATTCACACACACACACACACACACACACACGTTGGATTTTCTCACAAGCTGATGCAAACTTGTGAATGTTTACAGTGCACTGACTGTAATTGTTTGAAATAGAGTATTCAGAAATGTCTTACTGTAACATAGTGGTGGAGAGCAGATTCAGGACTACAGTATTGCCAACAATAATAAACACACTGATGTATCACGGAATGATAAATTTTATTGATTGTTTCCCGGACTAAACACATTTCATATCTCTTTTCTCTCTCTCTCAGCCAGTCTCCTGCTGCTTTTCTTTCTGACACTACCCACCACCACCTCCTGTTTCTGTCTCCTTTAATTTCAATCTTTCTCCGGTTTCCCCACTCTCACATAGTTCTGTGATGGGAGATCCCTGCCTAGCTGTATCTGGAGAGAATGTCGTTGATCCAGGGCATCAGAGAACATACTTTGGTGTAAACGCCCGGGTAGTTAGGCTGAGCGCAGCCCTGGCCCCAAGAGACAATACCCTGCAGCTGCCCATTACACACCAGAGGACCACCAGAGTCACCCTGAGCAGGGAAGATAAAGAGAAAGCGTTAATTCCTTAAATCACCTCATCCCATTAAATGTTTTATTTACATGTTCATAGAGCACCAAGCCTTATTCTATGTGCTGTAAAATTCTGTGGAAATACCTGACAAGAATCCTTGCCTCCCTCCAGGTATCCAGCGCACACCATGCGATCAGTAATCATGCCAGGGTAGGAACCTTGACAGTCCTTGTTAGACAGAATGGGGACTTCCACACACTGAAGGTAAAAAGGATTGAACACTGCAGATAACATAAAGAAAGAAAGAAACAAAGAAGGAAACAAAGAAAGAAAGATAAAAAAACCATCACCATAGTGTATCAGACCTCAGTGGCTCTCCAAAATGTCCATCTTTATGGAGCTAAGAAACAACAGCTATTTGCCATAACTGACAGTTTGCTAAAACCCCACTCTCGAATAGTGATTGACAAGCCTGGCAAGCTTTGTATTTTTCCGCATGTTGTGCATGGGACTGTTAAGAATTTGGAGGGTGGAGTCTTTTGTTATCACCTTTCCAAAACCAAAAACACAAGAGCAAAGATATAAGGAAGGAGTTAAATGGTGATAATAGTGTTACGTTTGCTAAACTCATCATACTCGCTTTCCCCCTGTGTTAGTAAAGCATGCTGTTTTCAGGGTTATGTTAGAACAAATGACATTATCATTATATATTTATTTCTAAGCCTTTTTAAGCATTATATCAAATATATAGCCATCAAAGGAATTTAAAAAATCATTTTACTGGCTTCACTTTTTAAAAAGAACGAGCTGACAACATTTAAGTCGTCTGGAGACTGTTTGCTTTGATGCTACATTAGCTTAGCTAGAGCTGATAAAATCTGCTAGCAAGCATCATTTTAGCAGATCCACTGTTGTCAGCTTGAAATGAGATACCTGGTTGTCTATCATGTGTATGTAAGACCCTTTATTTTATTTTTTTTAAATTACTAAAAAAGGTCAAGTGGTGAATCTGTCACTGCTATCATTGTAAAGTGGACAGTGGAAAGTGGCAAGTAGACAGTAATTAAGGGTGATGGGGCTTAGCAAAGCTTTACCTGGCAAGGATGAAAATATCCTATTTTTTCTTTATTGCATCTCCATTTAGTCTGTAATGGTAAAATAAATATGTTAATTTACCAGGGAATTATATTCCTTAGCTTCTGACCTTTCAAAGGAGACCAGAAGTATGACTCTAGGCCAAATGGTTGAGAAGTTATTCCTGATTCATTTTGGGTATGTTATTTTAGGCGTTTGTTATGGGGCAAATAGCTGTCAGTTTCCAGCGGGTTAATATCAAGATCAGGTGCACCTCACCTTGATCAGTATAGATGTTCCCCCATCCTGACACTGTGCACATGTCCCCAGGTGTGGGGCAGGCTTTGGGCAAGGCGATAGGCTTGACATACTGATTCACGGTGACAGGGTGTGCAAGTTTCATCAGCATGATATCGTAGTCTAGGGTCTGGTAATCATAACTCTGATGCCAGTAGATGGCATCCACTGACATGTACTGCTCTGTGCCCTCGTTCATCCAGATGTGGTTGTCACCCAAGACAGCAATCTGTGAAAATGGGCTGAAATAGAGACAAAGAACAAAATTCATAAACTTCATTCAAAATTTATAATTCTCTTAGAGTTCATACGGAGACTTTTGAACACTCTCACGTAATACAAATGTAATACTTTTGCCAGCAGTGTGCAGCAGAGATGATCCACTGGTTGTTGATTAGGGAACCGCCGCAGAAGTGATAGCCGATATTTAGAGACACCTGCCAGGGTTTTGAGTGGGCTTCACACTGGTAGCCACCCACAATCCTGTCATCCACAGGGGCTGCAGCTGTTGTGTAAAGGAAATACATATTTATCAGAGTTATAGTTATTTATTATTATTTTACCCTTAAACTGCTGTACATACTGCAGATGTGATTTACCTGCAGCACCCAGGAGTGTGAGAACAATCAGGCCAATCATCTCGTGGCTGACTCAAGCCTTCCTAAGACCAGACTGGAGGAGAATAATCCGTCACTCACTGCATTTATACCTAAACTCCTCTGTGTCTTTCCATGCAACCCACCCCCCACATCTCCATCCACCCAATTCTACCCACCCACCCCTGATTCTCTGTCCACTCCTCCTTCTCCATTCCCTACCCTGAAAAATAACCTTATCGTATGTGGTACATTCATCCTTTCAGTTAATAAGTGAGCCATGTCTTACATATTTGTTGCCTTGGGGAGTTTTTTGTGCGATCGGTTTTTAACTGATTATTTTGTAGATTTTCTGCACCTGTCACCTAAATACATGTGTCTATTCTTTTTATGGGAAACACATTTCCAACTCCCCTTTTGGCAGACACCTCAGTGAGTTATTGTAACAGCCATTTTGTGTTATTACATATTCATTGAATGCAATAGAACAGAATGGATTTATCCGCACTTATTGGTGCTAAAATGCTATTGATTGCTGTCTGACACGGCACAGCACAGAAAAACACCATACAGCATGTTTTAGTTTTCTGCTTCAGAGACAACAGATGATTTCTTTCTCACGTCTCTTGGCTTTTATTCAAGGGCAACCAAAAGTGGACCCGTGGACTTCTTTTTTTTAATCGACTATGTAAACTATGATTCGTTAAATGTCTGCCAATTGAGTCTGTTTGTTAAAAGCAACAAACATTTCTTTCCTATTGGTTCAAGCCTAAAGGAAGGTTGTATAACTGTTTTCACAGTTGTAGCTAGCCAACAATGAGTGACCCATGAGAGAACCATGAGCAGGTGTTAAATGTGTGGAGACCTTGATCCACATTTGTAAATGAGGTGCACAGATGGGGCAGAAGTGGGAAAACATGGAAATAGGAGCATGATAAGAGAGTACATTTGAGTTTACACTTTTAAACAGAGTGTGAGGACACAGATGGGGTCAACAAGAAGAGGTGGGGGGATTTAGCTGAGCACAGCAGTGGGGTTGGTAGCATATAAATATGAGCTGGGGTGTGTCCAGGTGTTTTCTATTCACCATGGGACTGCTGGCTCTGTTGCTGATGGTTGGAGCTGCTGGTAAAAACACAGAAATACACACAGGCACAAGAATACATACACACATACATACATATTTACAAAAATACATACACAAACACACACGCATGCATGCATGCACGCACACACATACATACAGCCACATATGTGTACTGTAAAGTCAGCGATTTGAAAGTTGTTGTTACCCTTTATCTCTTTCTGTGATTGTGTGACAGCTGCAGTTCCCCGCGAAGATGGCAGAATCATTGGTGGGCAGGACTGTGAACCTCACTCTCGTCCATACATGGCCTCCCTTAACTATGGTTACCACTTCTGCGGTGGGGTTCTCATCAACAGTCAGTGGGTTCTCTCTGTTGCCCACTGTTGGTACAAGTAAGCATGCATTTATGCATTTTCCCCACTTTGAAATACAAGTAAATGCAAAAAAAAAACATCTGTAGGTGGAAGACTAATGCTTTTCAATCTACACCATATGTGGGGGACATCTGTTAAATCTATCTAAGTATTGCAGTATTTGCAAAGCAAAGACAATGGAGAGATTAAGACTTATTTAGAATTATTAGTACTAAATTGCTGGAAGCTTTTTCTGCATTCATATTTTTCTAGAATAATTCTCCTCCTCTCTCAGTCCCTATGCCATGCAGATCATGTTGGGAGAACACGACGTGCGAGTGTTTGAGGGTACAGAGCAGCTCATGAAGACTGAAAACATCATCTGGCACCCTAGGTAAGTTAAAGAAAAGAACCATGCCGTCTGGGAATCCTGTTCCCGTTGTACGGTTTCATGATCATCTGATCCGTTCATACAGTGCAGAGACAACTCTAAAGCTTCTTTTATATTTCTCTGTGTGCAGTTACGACTACCAGACTCTGGATTATGACATCATGCTGATCAAGCTCTTCCACCCAGTAGAGGTGACTGCGGCAGTCGCACCCATCCCATTGCCCAGAGCTTGCCCAATGGGGGGGCTCCCCTGCTCTGTGTCTGGCTGGGGTAACACGGCCATGAATGGCGAGGGTGGGTTAATAACAGTGATTTAAATTATACAGCTACAGTGCACAAATGTGGCAGATGTTCTGTAAAAATCCCAACCCATTGAAACTGGTGTAGTTAATATGTTGCTTTCAAACTAGTCCCCCGATCCAAGCTGGGCAGGGTAGGGTCAACAAATCCTATGAAAAGCTCCAAAAAAGCTGTGAGTTGATCCTACAAACAAGTATTGCCTGTGCAGCCACTGTGAATTATCCTGAAGATAGTCTCCAACAAAGTGTCTGATTTACTTTTGCCGAAATTACAACAGTGTCCAGCTGTTATAGGGAATTATGTACTGGTATATATTTGAGACCTGTTTTTATAGACCTGTTTGTTAAGATTCCCTGATTAAAGGTTCACCTTGGGCCACATTTCACTAATTTGTATGAAATGTTTGTGGCAGATATATTAGGTCCAGAACTACAAAAAAGCCTCAGGGAGCGATGCCGTAAACCCAACGTGACTTACTTTAAAGCACTGGGATCAACTTCAAATTTTCACGTTGCCATCTAATGGCATTGATGATGAAAAGTTGTTTTATCTGTGAGTTTTCGTTGATGGGTGTGCCTGTGGCATGGCATCAAAAATTGGTAATTCTCCAGGAAACAGTTGCTGTAACTTCACTATACATGCTTAAATCCGAACCAAATTGTACAGATTTGATGACAGTACCGCCTTGAACACATCCATGTACCAAATTTCTCTCAAAGTCAGAGTGCCACCTACTGGCAAAAAGAAAGTGTCATATTTTACGCTGTGATGACGCCTCCTACTCCTAGCAGGTTAGCCACACCTGCCTTAAAACAGTCTCAGAAGAGCCATAAGACATTAATGATGCTATGTTGTGAAGCTTGTGAGTTTTCATGTAACGGCTTGTCCGTGGCGTGGCGGTGAAGTTCGATGCTTTGCCATGAAACAGGAAGTTGTTTCTTCACTGTACATGCACCATGTACCAAATTTCAGTTGTTTGATAAGAGACATGCCCTGAACATGTCTCCAGGCCAATATTCACTCATACTCACAGTGCCACCTACTGGCAACAGGAAGTGACCCTGCAACATAGCAGTATGGTACAATAACATAAAGTTAGAGGTTGTCTCTAACCCCACATAGGGGACGCAGGAAGTGACGTTTAACCTCTCAGTCCAAAATGCATGATAATTCAGAGTCATGTCTCCCAACCTCCGACTACTGTGCTACAGCTGTCACACCCCAAAGTGCCTCACAGTGCGAGGACCTGTCAAATGCTGCTTTCAGCTTTAATTGGTTTTATGTTTTCATGGAATGTGTTGACAGTTACAAAATTAAACCTTATCCTATAAAATAATTTATCTGCTTAGTCTCAGAAGCTTATATGTATATCTCTGTTCTACCTTATACAGTCTACTTGCCCACCCGTCTGCAGTGTCTGAACGTGCCCATAGTTCACGACCAGGACTGTGAAAACGCTTATCCTGGCATGATCACACGCAGGATGGTGTGTGCCGGATACATGGATGGGGGCAGAGATGCATGCAATGTGAGTTTTCAGTAAATTTCTCAATCTCTGTATCCATGAAAGAATGAATCTTTGCCTACCATGAATCATTGCCTACCTGCTCACACTCAATCCCTCTGTGTTTGTCAGGGTGACTCCGGCAGCCCTCTGGTGTGTGCTGGAGAGGTCCACGGGCTGGTGTCATGGGGTCAGGGATGTGCCATGCCTAACTACCCCGGAGTCTACGTCAAAGTGTGCGAGTTCCTCTACTGGATTGAGGACACCCTGGCAGCCAACCCCTGAAGAAATTACCCATTTTTCCTTCACTTCACCCCCTCTATTCTCTCCCACTCCCAAACATTTATTTTTCTTTCCTTCTCTAGTGCCCCCCCCCCCATCCAGACTCAACATGCATGTCCCAAGAATATAGAAAACAAAATAAAACCAACACAGGATATCTTCATTTTTCATTTGTCTGCTCATTTTCATATCCACAATGGGTGAAAGAAAAAACACCAAATGAAACTACTTGGAAGCTATGTATATGTTAGTTACAGGTTTATTTGTTTGATTTTAATACCATATAAGACTGTCTGATGGAGTTAGATAACTTCTTTATAAGAACAAGCTTGTGTGTGTTAAATGAAAAGGTTGCTTATCTCTATTGTTTCATAAATTCACCCCAAAGATGTGATTGCCCCTCTTCATTTGTCCATAATTATATTTTCAAATATCAAGCCTTTCATTCATTTCTATTATTTCTTGGAGGCTCAAAAAAGGCTTAAATGATAATGATGGTGTGCAAGACTATTGCACTAGACTACTAGACTTGGGAATCAGTACTGAAGCTGCTGTGGAGAAAATGGCAGCATAATTATTGAACAGTAGGAGGCGTCAGTGAGCAATTTTCCTGTCAGTCCCGCCCACTCACCTCAACCTCAGCAGTGCAGCTGACACACGGTCATTTACAGTTAGCCATGACAACAAAAACTATTTTTACATCGAGGGCTGATTTCTGGAATGAAGATATTTTAGTCACACAGGTATTTCTCACTTCATTTAAAGAGTCTTTAGATGACATTTTTTTCCCCCTGTCAGGACGACATTGTTCTTGTCATCTCTGCCAGGCCATATTTTTCTTTTCTCCTCTCCTCCCTCTCTTTATATCTTCGTCTCTGTCTGACTGGGCTGGAAGGTCCGAGCCATGCTGCTCCTACACACAAACACAAGAAGAGGTCATACTAAAATACACAATTCACAAGAAAAGTGTAAAGGTCTAAGGAAATATAAGATACTTAATCATGTTCCCTGACCTCTGAGAGAACTCTGTAAGATACTTTTAATTAAAAAAAAAAATGATGTTTTGATAAATGCATGAGACTAGTATTAGATTGTGAGTTACCAATGAAGTTTTGAGTGGTAACTTTACAGGAGTTGAGCAGAATTAAGACTAAAGGCTGAATCCTAAGCTACATAAGTAGCTCTCAAAGTAGAGTGAGCCAGTGCAGGGTGGGCATGATCAGAGGGGTAAGAACTGGAGTGAATCCAATGATGAATATACTTTTTACACAGCAAACACTTTGACCTGTCAACAAAGGGGTCACTAATAACAGTATTAATTGCTGCATCGCACTGCAATAACTGCTGGAAGTGAGCCATCGTTAACATTACCATCCACTTTTCTGTAATGACACGTCTGCTATGATTTGGGAACCCCAGGCTTCTTAACATGTTTTAGGATATGATCCTCTGCATGGTGTAGAACAATCTCACTTTTATTTAGTTTCATCAATGTATGTGTACAGTTCAGAATACAAGCTTACAACATGCAACTACTTACTGTTGCCATCCTTCTGAGAGGAAGAAGAAAACATTGCTTCTGTGAGGAATTCAGCACTGTTTAAAACATAAATTGGAAATATAGGTGAATTAGCTACTGAGTAAGAACATGTGAGTCAGCGTTCCACTATACGGCTGTGACATCATAGCCTTTTTTCTGATTATCATTAACACTGCATGCATCCAGGGTCTGGTGAAAAAGACTTGTTTATTGTAGTAAGTCTAAATGGAGACAGCTGTCGTTCACCTGTGGGAGAGTTGGTATGACGGAGGCAGCCCACCAGAGTTCTCCTCCTCACTGCTATATGACTCCTCTCCCTGACACCTAAATTGAAAGGGCACACCATATTTTATATTCCCCATGTTATGTGTTCTTCTAAAATAACTGTTAATGTATGGACCTTGTCCCATGTATATATGTCACTAGCACAATAAACAACAAATAGAGAACAAATTAGGGATTACCCCTTATAATCAGCTAGCACAGAGAATAATTAATAATTGTAATAATCATCATATTTGTGTCTATTTGCAGTAGCTGTTAACAATAATATGAATCCTGACCTTAACAGTTAAATGTCTGATTATTAGAAGGGTTAGGTTTTTATTGTACAGACAAATACATCAATAAACAGAGGTGCATAGAAACATATACATTACAAAATTAAACCAAAAAGACATAACCACCACAAAACAAACTGCACAACCAGTGCAGTTATTTCATATGAAATGCTGAATCTTTGCATTGTTGATCCAGATATTTAAAGTCATTTTGTGTGTTCCCAGAATTATGTTGAACACTTGTTACGGGTTTCAGTATTTTCTTAGTTTCCTTTTGAACTTATTTTATCAGTAGAGTATAAATAAAGCTGCAATATCAAGTTCCTTATCTCAGTAAAAAGAAGTCACTCTGTAGAGCATTAGCAGCATGCTCAAATTTAGACTTCTGAAGGTTTCTAGTATACATGTAGACAACAACTGCATTTTCCCCTTTACCTTTAAACAGTGTCCCACCTGTTTGTGTGTTGTTTGTGTCTTCTATGTGCTTCATTACCACTGTGAGCCTGCTGAAGAAGAAAAAAGGCCACAATGATTGTGCAGGCGTCACCTACTACAGATGTTCACACTATAACTGGAGAGTCTCTGCAATACTGACCATGAAATAACTTAAGTGTCTGTGGAGGGTCACACCAACAATATGCAAATTGCTTGAGTGTTGGTGGCAACTTACCAAGTGAGAGTGTTTAGGTGGTGTCCTTGTTTCTGATGTCTGTGATTGGCTGGAGATAGATGGACATGGTGGGGCTGTGCTGTTTTTAGGGGGCAGAGGTGGAGCGCTGATGTGGGAGCTGGGAACCTGGTAATCCAAACTTGAGAACTGTTGAGAGAGACTGTAGGCAGTCAGTGGGGATTTTGTCTTCTTCATTGGCAAACAACAAAAAAGTTACTATGAGCATGAGGATGCACGATGCAAATGAGGAGCCCAGAATTTAAGATAAATTTCCAGCTAAATCACTGAACTACAAGCATTTGATGACTGAATTAGTTGCACTTCGTGGTGCTTTAATGCTGGGTTCCATTTACCTCAGAATTTCAGAGCTGAGAATGACGTCACACCGAGTTGACCCCATTCCAGTACAACAACAGATTTAAGTCAGAAAACCAAGACTGACGCCTCTAGCCATTGTTAGTGTACCAGTTGATGACAACGCATTAAACATTATTTTGCGCATACAAACACCGAAGCAACATGTCCACAGATATAAACTGGACAGTACTGTGTGTACGACTCTTTTAATGAGACACAAATAAGACAGAAGTGCGATAAACAGTTGATTACTAAAGCTTTCACTACTGTTGGAGCTTGGAGTAACATTTTGAGGTGGGGGTTGAGGTTCTCCCGACTTTTCAAGTAGGAAATACGACTTAAGGGGTCATTCTGTTTGAATATTCAAAGTTTGCCAAATTCTAAAGTCAGCATGTTAACATGCTCACATTGACAATGCTAACATTCTGATTCTAAGTAGGTATAATGTTAACCATGTTCACCATCGTAGTTTAGCAAATTAACATAGTTATAGCTATTGCTCTGTCCAAACCAAAGATAACTTAAAATTTTGTCCAGCTGATGGCATTAGTGGAAAAGATGAGGGATCACCAAAGTTATAGCAATTCACTTGGCGGGGAAATGATTGTGTGTACTAAATGTCATAATTATCCAACCAACAGCTGTTGAGCTACTTCAGTCTGGATCAAAGTGGAGGATCGAATGATAGACCGATATTTCTATTGGCTAGCACGGCTAAAAATATACAAAACAAATGGGCATATTTAGAGAAATGTATTCACACACCTTCCTCAAGGCAGCCATTTCCTTTATTATCAGTTCAATGTCCTCATGGTCCTCCTCCTCTGTGTCATCCTCAACGTCCTCCTCCCACTGACCGCTGCCTGGCAGGTAGGGCTCGACGAAGATGGACTCTGTTCCTCTGATGTCGCAACGACAGTATGGGCAGGTGTGGCCAGCTGACTTCTGCTAGATAATTATCGATGACAGGTCACGGGCAGAGCAATGGAAACACTTTATGAATGTAAAGGCCCATTATCAGCCATTGTCATGAGAACAGCTTCATTTCTTTTGAACTGCATGTAGTGGAACATCTTCAAAGAAAAAAGCCACTAGCTTTTTAGGCTTTTTGAAAGATGAAGGAGGTGGAAAATACCACTATGAACAGATTGTAAATTGCGGGTTTTCACAAATGTAAACCAGATGAAGATGATGAAGATGTTACATTTTCTTTCATTGCTCTAGTATACACGCTTTGAGTTTCTCAAGGTTTTCTGATACTCATATCATGCATTTTTGTAGATTCCGGTCATCCTCTTTGCAGTCGTTGTTGTTGACACGATTTTTCAGATTGCTCCCCTTGTCTAAATTTGTAGCTTGTCTGACTGATATACAGTATATAATTTGGACAACTATTATTAGGCCTATTTCAAACTCTTTTACTTGCACAAACTGCTTTGAAAATCATGAAAATTAAACCTTTATTTAAGCTGACGCATCCTGTTATCTGTTTTCAGCTGCAAATGTTTTTCTTTACATTTACAAAGGTCATTATGCTGTATTGTAAACTTACTGCTGATGAGGGAGTTTGCTTGACCGCAATCTAGACTAACTTACAACTTTTCCATTGCGGTCTGACGTCCACAAAGCATATCTAATTTTCTTTTCCTGTCTGTCTGTCTTTCCTTCTCACTCTCTCACTCAAACTTTTGCTCAAAGTGAATGTGAACAAAACAGTTTGAGGAGGATGTTAGTCTGAACTCACACAGGAAGTCCTCAGCCAAATGCCAGGACTTAGCTATGCACCTTTGTAAAGACCCCTCGTGAACAGATGGGAGGCTACTGTTGGCTGAAAGAAATAGTAGTAGAATATGAAGCTGTAGTTTGCCAGCAGCAGCTTTACTTCGTCTTTAATGTCACAACTGTGAATAAAAGAGGAAGTAGGAAGTTGGGGCTGTCCCGTTGCACACAGGGCATGCTGTCCACATGACGACAGCATTATTATTTAATGACTTTTGTGACTTGTGTGCCAT